CCTTACCAAGATAAGAATTGTATGAGAAAGACTGAAGTAATCAGGAAAGGAGTGGATTTCCTCAGAAGCACAGTAAAGTATCTGTAACTACAGTCTACTCACTTATGCCATAGTTTCCCAGCGAGCTCAATTCACTGGAAGAAAGGATTCCACTTGGTGATGTGGGTGCGTGTGTGTGCATGTGTGTGTGTGTGTGTGTGTGTGTGTGTGTGTGTGTGTGTGTGTGTGTGTGTGTGTGTGTAACAGTGAATCAGGTAGTAGAAGAAAGCCAAACTCTCCCGAATGTTTAATTTAACACTGTGCTCTTGTAACACCAAAATGGATGAATGTGGCAAATGTCTTAGGGCACAGTGAAATGTTGAATAAACCACCAGGTGTTCATGATGTTCTTACAGAAAAAAAATCTGACGAATGAATTTATTTTAATTCGCATTAAATTTTACCAAGTTGAAATCCCTTAGACGAAAGCATAAAATATTAACATATGCACTAAGAAGTGTATTCTGCCAAATATGCAAGTGAGTGTTGACTTACAGGGATATTGTATCTTCAGTGGCAAGCCTGAAAATGTACAAATTTGAATGCAGAAATGGATTATTACTCATAACAATTCCAGAATTTAAAATATAAAAATAGTAGAGAATATATTTTTATTATTCATTTAAAATTGTGGACTGAAGGAAATTATGTGGATTTATTTTTACTTAGATTAGCATTAAGATTAAATTTGAATATGAATTGTATGTATTTTTAAAAAGTAATATTCTGTGTCTTATTTAACATTATAATAAAAAAGATGATTCCCCACTATTTAATACTAAATGCTATATCATATTCTGTTCTAGTTTTTAACATATTAAATTCATCTGGAAAGGGGTTATCACTACATTATTAATAGATTGTTATGTTTTTCACACAAGTACATCATAAGGCTGGTACAGAAGGATGAAGGTCAGTTACATGCACTTAAAAATACATGGACATAGCACTAATTGTAAAGTATGATTACAAAGGAAAAGTATAAAACAAATATGAAAAGGACAAACTTAAAAAAATGTTTTTGAAACTTTATTTCGTAAAACACAGTGAACAACAACTCAAATGGCCAGTAATTTTCCTGAGTAGGTGTTTCTTTGGGCCCTGATTTCTTTACGAGTTATAAAAGTGTTTGCTAGTCATTAATGCTGCAAAAATTAAAAAGGAGCTGTACATAAGAAATACTTGTTAAAACATACCAAGAAATTACCACAGGTATAATAAACATTTTTATGTATTTTCTTAATTCACAATAAAATAAAAATGACAGAATTTAAGAAAAATCTAGGCAATAGCATGATTTAATCAGAATGGAAGAAAAAAGATTGCCATGTTCCAGGGTCTAAAAAAATGAGTCACTCTTTCTTTTTTTTTTTTTTTTTTTTTTTTTTTTGGTACTGGGGACCGAACTCAGGACCTTGCATTTGTGAGGCAGGCGAGTGCCACTGAGCTAAATCCCCAGCCCTTAGTCACTCTTAAAAGTGAATACTAACTTTTTAAAGTAGAGTTTTGAGAAAACATGAATTTTACAAATTAAATTCACTTGATCTGTTTCAAGGCACATTCATTTTAAAGTTGCTTCATCTCGATTTTTATTTATATCCAAGAGTGAATAAATTGAAAGTTTAGTTCTCATTTTATGTGTCTTACAAGTTATAAGAAGAGCCAGGGCTTAGTAGGTTACAGGAACCAAAGACAAAGCAGAGAGAACTGGTCTCACAGTATGCTCTAAAGTTTTGATAGAAGGATTTAGAGCTTTAAAAAAATCTCATATTCAATTTTCTGTGAACGAAAACACTGAATTTTGTGGGTCTTTCTTCTGTGAAGAGATGTCTCTGCCCCAGCATTATCATTTCATTCCTGTGGCACAGCGGTTTTCTAGACCCTGTTATACACATAATAGAGACCAGATGCTGAGAATGATGTTGAGAAGTGACCAGCGATTAGCAAGAGGATGATATTTGATGCTTTTGATCAGTGCAATTTCTATTTATTTAAAAAGCATTGCCATGATATTCTTAAAATTTATGGAGAAAAAATAAAAACTGAATAGTGATGAAACTCTGCGGTGTAGCTTGAAGAGGCATGAGAGGGATTTGGGAAAGCAGTCGATAGTCTTCTCGACAAGAAAAGCTGAAAGATCACATGCTAAGAATTACCTTACTTGATCTTTTCCAACTCTTCCTCATTAGCATTGTCTGTAAATGAGATAAAGCATTTCATTATCTCTTCACTCTAGCAAAGAGGGAGGAACCCATTGTTTTCTAGAGGAAATGTAACCTGTAATAGTCCTTTAAACAGCAAACAGATTCCAGCAACAACTACACAGGACAAGATTTGTTTTTACACACACACATAGCTGTAGAAGCACCTTTAATATTCAGACAGTCTTTCTAGTGAGAGTTCATCTGCTGTATTCTTCGAATGAAGAAATGGGACAATATATTTTAAATAGAATAGAAAGCTTAAAATATCTTGATTATTATCGGGAAATATACATCGAGTCTAACTCACAATAGTTCCTTTTGGTGGTGGGAGCTGAGGATACATTTGACTTTACAGGTACATGATAATCTTTCCATTCAAATACATTAAAAGTCTGTTGCTTTGGTGGCATCTCAGAATTGTCCCTACTTATAATCTCTCCCATCAAGGTCTAGAAATGCTTTCAACTGAGAAAATGATGTCTATTGTGATAGCTATTGGTGTATCTTACCGCTAAATCTTCATCCAAAACATTACTCTTCAAGCTATTCTGTTTGTGTAAGAGGTATTTACTGGCAAACATTTTAAGTAATGTTCTGGAGATTTGTGATGAATGCCTAAGATCACTGGTCTCTTGTATAATGTAAACTATTAACAGCGAAAAAGTTTTTTTTTAAATTTCTTCTTTACTGTCCAAAAATTCTCAGTGCATACTAATTAATCTCTTTACCCTTAGTTTTATCAGTACCTTCAAGTCAGGTGAAGTGTAGAGTGCCACCTATTTGGAGCAAAATATATAGCTTATCTGAATGCTTGCCACATCTGTACAAGGAACTGTGCTAATTCCTTTGTAAACTATCTCCTATAGCAGAATTCCTTCCAAAGAAGGAACACTCACTCATAGTCTATAAAAATACATGGAAAATATTTTAATATAACAGTAAAACAGCCTTTGCCTTAAACTGAGAGAATAGGATTGTGTAGAGGTTCTAAAGCAGGAAATAAGAAAATCATAAAATTGTCAAAGACAATAATAGCATTCTTTTTTTTCTTCAGGTAGCAATTTTAAGGGGTACATTTCTCTACATATATTTCATGTTAAATATTAACCAAAACATTGAAGAGTAATAGATTTTCTTTTTTCAGATAGAACCAAGAAACTACAAAGCAATGCCATCTATACTACTACAGAGACATTTTATGTTTTCCAAGTACTAAGATCCAACTAATACTTAAAGCAAAGAATCCAGCATTAGGTTGTGGAGGTGGACAACTGGTATACATGCGATGTATGTTTGTTGGTGATGTCAAATGAGTTACCATAGTCATTGCCACTGCCTCCACCACCATCACCACCTCCAAAAGGCAACTGGCAACCAAATTCTGTAATGGCATGCCATATTCATGACAACTGTCCAATTAGGAGTTCGATAACAAATGCTCAAATTTCTCAGAAAGCAGTTTCAATGGAAAAATTATAACTCATGAAGACAACATCATGAGTCAAATCAGTGAAAAAAATTAAATCAAAAAGTAAAATCTCTTAACTCACAGTCACGTATCATCATCTGGCATCTAAGAATCTTACAAAAAAATCCTATCCTATAAAAAAATGCTGGGTTAGGCAAAAGGGGCTTAGGAAGAGTGGAATTTCATAGCAACACTCTTAGGAAGATCCAACCTCTTGGTCAAAGTCACACTCCCGATTCAGAAGCGCTGCATATAATAAACCTCCTATCTGTCAAACAAAATATATGGCTAATATTTTCTTATGTTTCAAAATTATAAGCGAGCCACATGGTTTATTCTTCTGACTGGGAATTTGATACAAGCAAAAAGTCAGTGAGTCCCTAAGTAGAAATATGAATGATTTGGCAAGTTTGAGGACCAATTAATTATTTTCTTGATTTGATATCTAAAGTTCTACTCTTAGATCCAGTGATTTCAAATTTGCCCTAGATTTTATAACAAAATGTCAGCCTCAACCAAATCCACTAGATAAAGTGAAGTGTTTCATATCCCACACCTAAGTCCTTTCTTCTGCTTAGGTATTTAGTTAAGGTAGATTCAATAAAACTGCAAACTGTAGAAACCTTAAAAGCGAATGAATTTAATAGACACTCTTAATATGATTATTTTTGCTTTTTGTAATATGCTGGAGAAGAAAGACTGGAGAATGTTAAAGATTCAAGATGAAGCAAATTCTAGAAAAATAAGACTATTTTTGATTACGATCATGACTTCAGCTGAGAAGCACATGAATTAGTTTTCAAAGGTATCCATATCTAATATTATGTTGAATAGTATGTTATACAATTTTAATTATTCATTAGTACTCAACCTCCCTTGAAGCCACAAAAAAGAAATAAAAATACATGGTCCATGTCAGGTCAGTAGAAGTGACTGTTTCTAAATGATCCAAATTTCAGACTGTTTTTCCACTCTATTCTGTTGTAGCAATTTTGTGGGGAATTATATTACTAATATATATATAAAAACTGCAGACTGGTTACCACAAATACATATTCAACTTTTTGTAAGTGGATATATCCTCAAAATTTAGCTGTTTAAACCTTCTAAAAATATAAAAATTAAACCAAAGTTAATATATCCATCTATATATGTATTTTAGATGAATTAAATGAAAGGAAGATTAATTCATGTTTAACTTTTCTATTTTTAAGCCTCGGCTAAGCAATTTGCAGGTGGTATATCATTTAAGAGAGTGTGTAACACAAATGAACTCACTTTTATTTCACAAATTCTCCAATGAAGAAAGCTGTGGACTGAACTCTGCTAGAAAAGAGCCAGAAAGAACTCAAACATACCGTCAGATGCAAATACCATATACGGGACACACATGTATGGACTACACACTTTTTCAGGGTTAAAGCAGGACATGCAATCAAAACAGGAATGACAGTTGTGCCATGCAATGAGTCAGCATGCCCCCCGGGATGTTTTGGTGTCTTGTACACACAATGCTGGAAATTTAAATAATGTAAATATCTGCTCACATCTGAGATTTTTAAAACAGGCTGCATCAGGAACTCAGGGAAATTTTAATTTTAACAACTATGAAGTACATTTGCTACTACTCATACTACACTTCTTAAATTGCTATAATTGGATGCGGCATGTTTTGGAGCCTTCAGTAGACTCCGCAGGTCGATAGCTTTTCCAACTCATTCTTTAGTTTCACTGATTTCCAGAAGTGGTAATCCAGACAAGGAGAAGTCATCTCAACTGCATTATTCGCGGAATATATTGTCAATATTTTACAGTGTGCAACAATTTTCAAGATAACTGAGAAATCTTCACTTTGTAATACCAGGTGTTCTTTTCATAGCATTTTCCTAATGTTAACGTTCTATTTCCTATCTGATTGTGTATCTGTTAAAGGCTCTTGAAATCCATCTCTTCCATGCTCCATTTTAATATTTATAAAATATTTATCAGAGTTTCATAAACACAGGCACAAAAATAAACGTGAGTTTTCGGAACTAAAGTCTTCAGTCCCAAAAGTCTAAACTGAATTATTTCTGACCTAAGAGACAAAGAGAACAGAACTCTTCCTGTAACGTTGCTGTGTGAAGGTCAATGCAAAATCACCTTCTATTTCCACTCTCTATGTCATTCATATTAGACAAGGTGGTGAAGCATTCAGTAACTGATTTTTGGTTTGCTGCATTGTGAGTTTGAACTTCTTTAAATAAATAAGATTTGCTCCTGGATAATTTGTGAAAGTTCAGGATGCCATTTTTACCAAACAAGTATTTTATATATTACAGGCCTAGGAAGATTGGAAGTGAAGATATACTGGCTCTCTTATAGTTTTTAACTAAGAAATTTCAATAGTGTCCCAGTGAAATATGTTTAGCTAATAAACAGACACATTACAAAATAAGGAAATATAGTCACATGTTTATCATTTATTGTCATTTTAGAAATCCTTGAAAAGAGCAATATAGCTTGATTTTAAGCAAATTATCATTAATGCACTCATCGTAAGAACTTATAAAAGAAAATTAAATCATCATTTAATCAGTATTTCAATACTGAATTAAGGAAAAAAAAGACCCTTAACATACCTTCCCCTGGTCCTTCGATGTATCCCTTCAGATTCTCAGAGATTTTTCTACAACCCAACAAGTACTAGGTCCAGAAAATAAGACTGGGATGTGAGAACTGTCCCTGAGAGCCCATAAAGCTGCCTGTATCCGTGGAGGATACACAAAGTTCACTATATTTACATTTTTTATAACACAGTCAGTGCCCCCCTCCCCCAAGAGGACAGGAGGCGGGAGTGCAGGTGAAGGGAAGGACAGGTACTACCAGGATGGCGGACGACACCGAGGCCGGGCGAGACGCGAGAGAAGGTGACCTGCGAATTGCTGCTTGCGGGAAGGCCTTAAAGTTCCACCTCCTGGGCTTCCATGAATCGAAGAAGCAGCCACAAGGTGTGAACACTTAAGAGGAAGCAGGAGGAGGGAGGTATGTGCCTAGCAAACGCTTAGTGTTGAGCAAAAAATGGGTTCTTTTCTTTCCTTTTTAAATCAACAAATAAATATTCTATATATTTATGGGGAAATGTGATGTTTCTATATGTTATATATTGTTTGATGTTCGAATCAGAGTAAACACATCTATCTCCTCAAACATTTGTCATTTTTGGCAGTGAAAGTACTCAAAATGTTTTTTTTGTCTCTTGAAATACGCAGTATGTTTTCCTCACCTACATCTATCCTACTACGCAGTAACACTGCAGTGATACCTAAGCAAAATTTAATATCTAGTGTCTAGTCTTTCCTCATCACTCTCGACTGTCCTCTCCCTACCCTTAGGTAGCCACCACTGCATCAGAAACTTTTATGAAATCAACACTTTAGACTCACTGTATGAGTCAGATCAGGCAGTATTTGTCTTTCTGTGCCCGGCCTGTTTCACTCAACATAGTATCTTTCAGCTCCATCCACCATGTAGCAAATGACAAGCTTTCATCCTTTTTAAAACTTGAATAGTTTTCTTCTGTAGGTTTAAAACAAATACATACTTACTTATGGTTCACAGAGTTTTAAGAACTAATAACTTGTGTTGATAAACATAATAATTTGATTTAGAGAGCTTAAAAATTGTAGCGATACATCTACTACTGAGGCCAAATAAAGAAAAACAAAAAGCAAATTATATGTATCTGTGAACAGTTATATTAATGTAAAACATACAGTTAGAAACTGAGATTCAAATCTAGGGTATTTATTTAATACTTAGGATGTTGGATCCTTGTAGAATTTTCTCAGGTGGATCTTTTCTCCTACTTCCCCTGCCCAACAGGAGTGAGCTTGCTTCTCTATAGGCAAACCTGTGCCCTGACCACTGTTCACACCTACAAGGGTGAGCTATGATAGCCACAGTGGTTTCCCTTTCTTCTGCCACCTCAAGTGTGACTGAAGTCAGAAGTGCGAGAATGTTCCCTGCCAAGCGCCATTGCTGAGTCCTGGCCAAGCCACTTGAGGAAGAAAGAGTTCAGGGCAGGATCAGCAATAGGATGGAGGAAAGATACCATTTCCCAGTTCTCACAGTGGAATAAATCCAATACTGCCCCAAATGCTAACGGGGGTGGACACAAAGGAAGGCGGTCCATGAAAACCAGTTGGTGGTAGAGGAATTCTTCGAGGACATCTAGGGTAATCACAGGAATCTGAGTTTTTTGTGTTGAAGGTGAATGCGGCTGAGAGATACAATGAGAAATGAAAAAGAGGAAAAGAAGAAGATGGATAAACCAGATTTTTGATGTATAACTGTTTCATATGACCCACCTAGTCTCTTCCATATTCGTGTTTGAAAACTGATAATCAGCTCTGGAGTGCTATATTTTCTTCTAATTAGAAATACACTGTATCTAAAGTACAAGTTTAAGTGGGCATGGGGAGTGAATCGATTTTTGCAGGATTGTTGCAAAAAATGTTGAGAACTACTTTGCCTGTGCTGACATCTATTTCTGTGTTAATTCAGAGCAATTTAGCTGCTTCACTGTAAGGTCTCTGGATACTAACTTGATCCCTCAGTTTGATGCTAGAATATTTAATAAAGATCCTATAATGAACATAAAGATTCAGCAGACTACCTAGCATCACATCAGTCCATTAGCTGTTATAGCTGCTACATCATTCCAATCTCCAATAATATTGTCAGTTTTGACGGTATGGGGATATACAGGAACTCGGGCACTTAGCTATTTTTTTTTATGAAGGACTGTCCTTTATTAAAATAACAGAGAACCTCAAAGCAGGAATATTCTATCACCATGTTATGTTGAATTTTACCTCCTACAGGTAAACCTACCAATTTCCTTCCATCTCTACCTCTGATAGTTCTAAGCCAAACCACCATCATCTTTCACTTGAATTTTGCAATAGCCTCCTAATTGGTCTCCAAGTATCCATCCTTACTCCTCCATCTGCTTTGTACAACACGAGGAAAGAGATATTTTCAACAGGTAAATACAATTATGTCACTTCTTATTTACAAACCTTTCAATGGTTTCCCGTTGCCTTTGGGAAAACACTACAGATCTTCACAGGCCAACAGGCCCTCCAAAGACCGGGCGTCTCTTTCCATTCCAGTGTCCTCATGCACCTTGACCACCCACTTTCTCTGAGATCCAGAACCTTCTTGATTCTTGGAGTGAAATATGGTTTCTCTTGCCATGGGGCCTTTGCATATGTTCTCTGCTTGGAACACTTCTTGTCTTTCTGCTTCACTAACTCCTATCCACACATCACATTTAACTTCCTCAGAGAATCACTGTCCCGCTGACTAGAACAAATTTTCCCACGTTTGTTCCTTCACCAACATGGACCTCTCAGGCGGTACTTAACACATTGTCATTTTACTTTTTCTCCAAGAGTCCTGAGTTTTCAATTGGACCCAAGTTCTGCTGTATCTCAAGTATTCAGCACAAGAATAGGCTTACTGTAGGTTCTTGCTGAATACCAGGGTTATTTGAATAAAATATATAAATGAATATATACAATTTTTTCCTGTGTATGGATTAGCTAGCTAGAATGCACTCCTGGTTTATATGGAGCGAACTCATGTTTTCTGAATTGGTGAATTCTAAAATGATGAGCTTCCGTTTCTAAACACTCTCTGTAGAAAATTTTCTATACCTACCTTCCATTTGACTTCACCATGTTACCTTTTCACAGTGGGTAGTGCTTGGTAATACTCACCAGAAAAGAATCATTTTTCTTAGCTAATATTTAATAAATATTATATATGAATCTGTGGGCATACTGTTTACTTTTAAAAGGGATAGAAAAATAATCCTTGAGGGGGTGAATTTTTTAGTGAGTTTAAAACTCTTTCAAACTTGAGACTGGAATCTACTATTTGTAAATGTGATTTGGGGGAAAATGTCAATAATTCCTTTTTCAGGAGAAAACACATAACAGCCTTAATCATATATTATTTTAAGACAGCAATATGCATACTGCTGAAATTGAGTATTTTAACTTGCCTAAAAATATGTCTACTACAAAAATGTGTTACAATTAGAGCTAGAGTAGTTTCCAAGCACATGAATGTATGCTGGGTCCAATAAATAATTTCTGGTAAATTGTGGCAGAAAGTGCATTGAAAAGCATACTAATGTGGGTCACAGCTGATTTTTTTTCATGTCACTTCAAGAGAGTGGGAGTAATTGGCTTCTCGGTATCCCTTGTTAGTTTCTCACAGCAGCATTGTGTGCAAGGGAGTACAGACAGCTCGTGCTGAAAAATGGGGAATATCAACATGGAAGCCCATCAAGAAGATGAAAAGTACTCACTTATCATTCAGTAAACAAATACCAGAAAGCAGAAACTCTGTTATAATTTCACCTCATTTTCTTTGTTATGGTCCACCTGACAATTCAGTCAAAACAGTAGGGTCTGGCTGCATCAGTACAGAATTCCAACTATTCGATTCACCAATAAATATATTCCCTGAATGAATATTAATATCTCCCTACAATATAACATATCTGAAATCAAGAAATAAAATTGTAAACAAAAGCACAAGTGCATTCCCTGTTTACAACCAGAGGTTCTGGTCTGGAGCATGGGGCAGGAAATTGGAGTTGAAAAGACACAATAAGCATGGATGAGTGGTACCCAAGATACTCACAGAAACAGCACAGGTCAGATTTCACGTGGAGCTTCTCTCTATTATGACTTCTGGGTCCAAAGAAGGCTCACATACTTGGAAAGCAAGAAAGAGTTCCTACTAGGCTGGGGGGTAGGGGCGTGGGGCGGAACTTACCACATCCCTGGGTTCTCCTTCTTTGGGGGTGAGGATGACTGAGAGCAAAATGATTCCGAGGTCATGGTCAGGGTAGTGGGGATCTTTCAGAGTTAGGGTCACATCTGTCGGCCTGTGATATAAAATATTTTAATTTTCAACACTGAATACATAAGCCAGAAAATACTCTTAGTTAAAATACATTGCCATAAGAACCAAAGCAATTTTTGTCCTCCTTTATTTTCTTAGTATAATTATTGTTGCTCTTAAAATATCCAATAAACTGATAGTCAGTTAAATCTACTTGAATTCACTAGAAAAATTATTATCCTTCTTGGGGCTCTAGAAAGTTACTGAAAAGGTCAGGAACTACATTATTGAGAGACCAATAAATCCTTTTTCTGTGATCTCTACACCCTCAGAGAACAGTACCAGCTATTTTCTATACATTTCAGTCCAGGAACTAAACAAGGGTCATTCACTGAAAAGTACCATACTTTTGGTTCTCTGGGAGTTTTTTGTTGTTGTTGCTGTTCTTTTTTTAGCAGGAGAATGTTGTAAAATAAACAGGTACACAGGAAAATATAAACTATAATTGCTTTATCTACTCTACAGACATAATCTTAAAATAATATGTAATTATTTAAAAGAATATCTGATATATAAAATCAGATTTTTTGGATCTTTCCACCTGTGCTCATATAAGTTTTAGATCTGAAGGATGATGAAACAATGAATAATACTTAGAGGTGGTTTATATATCCTTTGGAATTCCATGAACATTTCTAAGGAAGTTACTATGGATAACTCAATGTTGCACAATCACTTTTGGAAAATAAATATTCAACTGAGCGTGCACAAGTACTTCAGTCACTTGGAGGTAACAATTTGTTCCTTTCATTTTAACAAATGCATTTCAAGCGTTATACCTATTCACGCTATATATGCATGTAGGATTACAGTTTGATTTTATTCATTTTCCTGCATTGAGTACATATACAATTAATACGAATAATATATTATAATGGTTATATGATAAAGACTTAAGGATATTTACAGCTTTTAATGATGCTTACCTGTTATTTTCTTTCAAAGAGATATCTTAATGCTTTATATAATAGCATAAGTATTTATACGGCAAGTATTATTATCCATTTTTATGTCCAGAGACTACTGATTTATACATAGAATGGAATGGCATATGCAAAACTGTGGCTTTAAAGAATGATAATCTGCTACTTAGTTAAAAGAGTATATATATCAGAGTCTATACATAGGTATAAGAATGTGTATATGTATATATATATATATATATATGTATTATATATGTGTATATGTGGTTTTGATGGGAGGGAATAGAATGATACACTGTGACAAAATGTACACCAAATATTTTGTTAATGTTCTTAATGACCCTTTATTTTTCCTTTAAAATTATTTTTCACCACAATTTATCTTTAATAGGGAACAAGAGAAGTTTATGCTTCAGGATTAAGTCTACTAATGTATATCCTTATGCAGAGATCTACCGAAAGGACAGCACAATGCCTTCTAGTTTGAGCCCAGCATTCACAACGGTGGACACATATGCCACCCTTCAGGATACTCCCTGCAAAAGTGGGTTATCATCAGTCACCTAAGTTCTAGCCAAAGGCCAAGCCAGTGCTTAGGCTCTAGGTTAGAATGGAGGGTGTGTAGCAAGTATAGAGAAGGCTACTCTCTTGTTCAGTCAAAGCATACACTGGAAGTTCAGTAAGCTGCCCCTATGCTCCAATTTATAATATGCAAAGGGGGATTTTCTATGAACATTTCTCTACACATTTACATTTATGAAAAAAGGAAGTAGTACTCTGGCCCATGAGTCTGCTTTCTGGTTTTCCACTATCCCTGTAACGTGATGTGACATGATCATCCCTAACAGGAATTCCTTCTCCTCAGAACCATCAAAGAAGCTTTCTTTACCATCCGTTTCAGCACTGCTTGACTTTTTAAAACCACTTTTTACTTTCTCTAGTATGATCACTTCTTAATTCCTATGTTGAAATGAATTTTGAAAACGATATGCCCAGTGAGTACAAGGAATGATTCACACTAGTAGGAACAGTATAGCTTTGCAACTAGTCAAGCAATGTTAAATAATATGAGAAAGCACAGCCAATCTGCCTGACTTGGGGAGTATTTCTTGGTAATATAGTGATGGCAAAATCAGGTTCTACCTTGGCTCAAGTGATAGGAGAGTTGCTGCTTTTGAAGTAAAGTGTGCACATTTTATTGCACATATAGCAGTGTAATTGAATAATATGATTGACATGCACAGTGATTAATATGCCCTACTACAATGATCAGAGCACTGAGGGATTGAACAGTGTGTCCCTGAACTCTAGGCTCCCGGAGATTAGCACAGAGCTGGGAGACAGCAGGTGTCTGACAGTTTTTCTGTGGAATAGCTGTTGTGCAATGAGGAGGATGGGGCTGATACTATTATTCTCATCAGACAGATGAGAAGGATGTGTTTGAGAAAGGCTGACTAGCCTGAAGGTTCACAGCTGTCATGACCCAACAGCAACCCTAGGAGCAGCCAGAAGGCTGACAGTGTCTCTCACAGGCCCTGCTGCACAAGGTATAGCAGTTTTACAACACTTGAAAGTCACCTGTTTAACTCCAGCTGTGTGAGATCCAGAAAGGCTGAGCCCATAAAATCATCCTGCAGTCCAAAATCATAGTCAAAAACCTAAAAAGCAAGGAGACAAGACATCGTTATTCATACCAGGTTTAAAATGAAAATGTCTTGATTATGAAATAATGGTTATCTTTGTCACCCAAAACAACAAAACTTTCTGAAATTAACTTTTTTTTCTTTTGATTGAGTTTATTGGTACAATCTAGGTATACAATACAATTACATTCATCACTGGGATTCTGTACCTTTACATAATAGGTCTTGATTCTCATTTTTTCCCCTTGTCCCTGCCCTCCCTTCACCCCTCTCCTCCTCTCCCCATTTACAAATACTTTATTTCCATTTTTTCAATTTCTTATATTTTTTTTCCTCTCCCTTATTACCTTTCCCCCACCTTTCCCACTTTCCCTACACCTTTAGCCCTTTACTTCCTATTTCATATTATTAATTATCTCATTAGGATCCTGTGTACTATTATAGTATAAAACTAAAGGAAAGTAAAAGAGAAAAGGCAATGATGTAACATTAAAATAATCCTTAATTCTGGAGATGAAAATGGTCCCTGAACATATTTCAATTGCTTCTCGCTCTTATAGTCTTATCTTAGTCTTTTTTTAATTATTTAGAGAATACTTTATTAGTTTCTGTAGTCAAACCCACATAGATATGACCTTACATATTTAGTAGGATGTGTTACCACTGTACACATGGAAAAAAAATTAAAATAAAAATAAAAATAAATTAACATTTCTAGACCAATATGGTTGTCTATTTCTGTACAATGCCAACTCAACACAGTAAGTTGGGATGACTTTTTCCAAAGAAGGATGGGGAACTCAATCTGGGCCTTGCAGCCCGAGGTCAGTCAGCGTCAGGGGGTTTAGCCATCAGCTAACTGAGATAGGGGTCTTGCATCCTCGCTCTTTCTGAGCCATTAAATGGTAAATACACTATATTGAAATTTTGTTCACGGCAGACATGTTCTGGACTGCTTCTTGATTTCAATTTAATTCAAATGATTTAAGGGTGATAGACTAGTGACTACCACAGGTGGTCAGTGTCCAAGTTGTGCTTGATCTTAATGTGTTGCTGATTGTATCAGTTGGGGTAAAGCATTGCCGTTGATTTGATGAGCTGTTTTCTCTGATGTTATGAAGATGAGAATGTCTGTGGGTCGTTAGAGACACAGAAGCTAGGGTGCAACTATATCAGGAAGATTTGGGTGATAATCCAGAGATTAAACCAAGGACAGTCCGACAACAAAAATTAAAATGAGAAAACACTTAAGCAAGACACAAGGACAGACTTCCAGTTCACCAATGGCAAACAGTAGGGCAAATGAGGATGAAAAGGCCGATAGTGAACCACCAGGACACCCTGAACTCAAAGCACAGGAAGTAACAAAACAGATCAATCAGGCTCTAGAAAAATTCAAAACAGAAATAATTTCCCAGATAACCATAGAGATAGTGAGCAAAATGGAAGTCGTGATTCGAGACTCTAGAGCAGAAACTGACAAAAAAATAGATGAGCTCAGGACCATGATAGAAGCCATGAAGGCCCAGCATAAGAAAGAAATGGAAAAAATAAACGCCCAACATAGGAAAGAAATGGAATCCATAAAACAGATTCAAACAGATATCCAGGAGATTAAACACTCTATTGAAAGTGTACGCAACAGAATAAAAGAATGCGAAGATAGGCTCTCAGATATAGAAGATAAGATTACAGTCAGTGACCATGAAAAGAGAGGTCTCTTAAAAACAGTAAGACATCATGAGAAATCGATCCAACAACTCCTAGATGATGCAAAGAAGAATAACATAAGACTGATAGGAATCCATGAAGTAGCAGGAGAAAATACAAATGACTTTAAAAAGCTGTTTGCAGAATTAATGACAGAAAACTTCCCAAACAGAGGGGAAGAATTTGACATTCAGATAACTTAGGCATATAGGACCCCAACTAGCTACAATCAAAATAAATCTACACCTAGACACATAATAATGAAGAGTCCAGAAACCCAACAGAAGAACAAAATACTACAAGCAGGAAAAGAAAAGAAACAAATCACATACAAAGGAAAGCCCATCAGAATCACAGCAGACTTTTCAGCACAAACCCTTGGGGCAAGGAGAGCCTGGAATGAGTATTTCAAGTACTAAAAGAGAACAACCTCCAATCTAGACTGATGTATCCTGCAAAACTCTCTTTCAAAATGGATGGGGAAATAAGACACTTCCATGACAAAGAACACCTGAGAAACTACATGAATACCAAACCAGCACTACAAGCAATTCTAAACAAGATCCTAGAAAAAGACAATGAAGGCAACAACACCATGAGGCCCAACAGAGCAAATCAAATAGGCAAGGCAAGAAATTAAAAGAAGGTGAAATTTACTTTTAAAATATATTTGTTCTTATTCTTTGGAATATTAGGAAAATATTCATAACACATTCAAGGTAAATTGTATTTCATCTTTATCTTTATATTATTGGTTTATAATCAAATGATTTTAAAAGGTGCTAAAATCAAATAAAATACAATTAATCTGTGAAATACACTGAAAAATGTGAAAAACATAGGCTTACAATATTTTTTCTTCTATCACAGGAAAAATATTGGCATTACAATGGAAGGCAAAGTTAGATCCTACGAAATTCACCAAATGTGGCTTTCACTTTAGGCATTAGATGATGAAAATATGATAATTCCTTCATATATTTTAGGCCATTGAAAATAAATTCTGTGATATTATAGGCTAATGCCTTTTTTAAACACACAAGTAATTAAAATACTGTGGTTAAGGTATTTTGTAAAGTTATATTAAGGTCAAACTCAAGGTTTTGTCACAAGCAATTACTAGGGCTAATTCTAACATGAACACACAAGTAAAAATGAAGAAAGAAAAGAGAATGCATTTCTTCTTCCTGTCAATGTTACTCAGTATCTTCTCTGTGTCTTACATGGATCTTAACCATAATGTGGTAAGACAAGCAAAGTCCCCAACTTCTTGGATGCTACATTTAAGAACTGAGACAGCCAATAAAAACCTATCTATAGTTTAGTGATGAGAGCTATGAGGACAAGTAAAAATCTAAGGGGTATATTTGAGAGGTGCTATTTTAGACAGGGAGTCCTGGAAGGCTTCTGTGAGGAGGTGTATATGTGTACAGACCTACAGGATGGGAAATATAAGACCACGCTGAAATGGGGAAGACCACTCCAGTTGGAGGCATCAGCAAATGCAGGAGAGACTGTTGTGCTCAAAGATTAGTAAGAAACCAGTAGTGTTGAAAGAAACTGAGAGTTGGACGGTAAAAGGGGGTTGGAGGGACAGCTCAAGAGCCGGTCAGTTAAGGTCTTTTACAAAGGACTCCATGTAAATGAGAACTAGCTGGCTGCCACCCACTTATTAACTTTCTCACTCATTCTTTCCCCTGGCCAGTTGTTAAATACTTGTGACGTGCCAGGCAATATGCTAGACACTGAGTACAGTGTAGCAAGCAAAGATATCGTGCCTACAGGTTAGTGATGGGACAGGTGCTACACAAGGAAGCATAGAGCTGGTATATATATGTGTGTTGCCAATTTTGATATATGTTTTATGAAAAAAGAATAGGATATGAAAAGAAAGAATAAAGGAGATCTGAGAGGGCTTTTAAGAGGAAAATAAAGCTACTAGATGAGGTTTAGGGCTATGCTTCTTAATCTTTTAAAATATAAACTATATGTATTGAGCACTGAAATAAATGAGCATAAACGGATCAGTCCACTCCTGAGTGGGTGACCAGGCCACTGCATTTTCCAGCATGTGACAATCACAAGCCTCAGGAAATCAATATACTCCTGTATCCATTTCTTAGCATAACAGCTAGAAAGCCCAGTACCTAGGAAACAAAAGGTACAACAGCCTCGAATCAGTTACTGCTTTTTATACTAGTACAGGTAAACTTCAATTTTTTAGAAAACTGAATATGCAAAAATTGATTTGAAACCAAAAGATAAATACTTTGCATTACAAAAGGATTCTTAGACTTGAAGAGTCACAAGGGAATTGATTAAGTAATAAGCTTCCCTTATTATTCCCTTATGTCTTTTATATCATTCATTTTGCTGTCATTTGATTTACACACAGATTTTCAGGAGTACATTTACTGTGGAAAGCTCAGCACTTGTGCAATAAATATTCTCCCTGATTAATTACACTTCTGAGCCTTAGTCATCTGTTCAGAGGCATGTCACATGTGTGCACCACACATTAGATAACTGACATTTCAAAACTCACAGGTGGCTAAAGCATTATATGTTACAACAAAAAATTTACACAACACCTTACATAAATTTCTTATGCAATTCCTTCCAATCATGTCCTTTTTGGACTTCCAATCTTGGAGAAAAGGTAGGAGGCATATAAACACTGAGAACACGTGAAGTACATCCACACATAGGAACCCAGTGAATTGATCAGCACGGACAGCCCAATGGGGTGATTAGTGTATAAACTCTGTAATCACACACTGAGAATCCTTCCTACAGTCCTAGTCCTGGGATTTTACTTCAGCTCTTTATTCCTATTAATCAGTGATGTCTCAAACATGGGAAATAATGGAAATCCCAGAATGCATTTATTAATGAAATCACTGGTTATACTACTGGGGTCTAAGATCTATAAATCATCTGTCAGAGAGGGCATTATTATAGATGGATCTTCAGAAACACAGAGCACAGGAGAAGTAAAAAAGAAAAGTTATTCCCACTCAAATAGCAAGCAAGTCAATGTTTATTAATGCTTACTCAGTATTTCCTCTAATTGGGGCATAATTTTAAACACATTAGAAAGATTTTGTAACTTAACTCTCTCAGCAGGCACTTACTAAGGTATTGTTTCTATTTCTCAGATAAAAATTTTAAAGCTGAAAAAGTTTAGGTTATTTGCTCCCAAGATCTAGGACTAAGAAGAGGCAAGATTCAATTCTTGTAATGGATTTCAGAAACAGAGCACATTTAAATTTAACAAATATAACTTGGCACCCACTCTAGGAGAA